AATGAGCACTTAGTGGGCGCATACAAGAGCGCCGTACGAGTCAGGAAACGGCTCTTTCAGGGCTCCTCACAAAAGGAAGTGAGTCCGAGGCTTGCTGAATCTGCAGAGAGGATGTTCGTGAACTTAATCTAGGGCAGGGGATGGGGGGAAGGGAAGAATCCCTTTTCTTTCACTGTGGATCGACACCCGAACTCCGCGTGTTTCTGTACACAGTTTTTAACAACAAAAAAAGAAAGTAAAGGGGCTAAGACCGTGGTGGTGAGGGCTTGCTCCACAGCTGCCTGCCTACGACCCTTCACTGCTGCGTGCATCCAGCCACGAAGGCTCTTCAGCATCCCCCCGCCCCGTCGCTGGGGAAGGGAGAGCTTCGAACGTCCCCGAGGTGAAGCCGTGGGCTGGCGCGGAGGGAGCATCACCGCCCACGGCTGCTCGGGGCCTCCGTCCGTCCTCCTCCACCTCGCGGGCCGGCTGCCTGCACTGCAGGGCACAGCGGGCTCTCAGGGCGCCTCAGCGCTCCCGGCCAAGCGCTGGATGGGGCCCACTTCCCATTCAAAGAAACAGACCGTTTGTTCAAAGGCACGGGTGCTGTGCCCTGGAGTTGAGCGAAGGTACTTCAGGACAACACTGGTCGGAGGATTCTGATGCAGCTGGACACAGAACTGCAGATTTTGAAAGATTTCGGTACAGGAGGTGGTATGGTCCTGTGGCCTCCACACCGCAACGGCCAAAGGAGGAAGAAATTAGGTTCTCCTCTTGAGGTTACTCTTTTATCCAGGCACACGGTTGCTGAACTTGCCACTACCTTAAAACACACGCTGAACGAGACCCTGCAGCAAGACGGGGCGCTTGCCCGCAGCCCTCCAGCCATCGCCATTGTCCTGCCTCGGGCAGGAGGATGAGGATGGACAAACCCCAGTGGGTGAAGGGCTGCAGCAGCAGCCACCTGCGGAACACAGCACCCACTCACTCTGCCAAAAAGCGCGTACCGAGTGACCCATCTTGTGACTTCAAGGGGCTGTCGGTATTGCTGAACAAGATCCGGGCACTCAGACTACACACAAAGCGCAGCCTTTATAGCTCTAGTCTCTATCAAATTAAATTCTTGAGTCTTGCGCAGGCTTATATTCACACTATAAACAAAAAGAGAATTTCCCTGACCAAGTTGTCCCATTGCCCCCACTGCTGCTTTCAGACTCTGGGATGGCGAGTGCGAGCACAGCTCAGGCTGCTGCACGGCTACTCCCGGGCACACAGGAGCGAGTCACCTGGGATCGATCTTCCTCTCTCCAGCAGATCCCACAAAGCTTACCCATAGCAATACCAGTAGCTTACCCATAGCAATACCACGCCTCCGTAACTGCGGCTGGTGATGGAGCATCACATCCAGCTTACCTGCCACAGCTGGACACGGCCCCTGTGACTGACTGGCTTTGCGGGTTAGTTGGTAGATTTAGACCTTTAAATGCACCCAAAACCCAAAAAAGGTGAGGAGGAGTCACAAGAGCCTGAAAGCTTAGTCTGGTGCAGGCACTGTAGCTCCATTTTCCACAGAGAGGTATTTTTAGAGGAAGAAGACTGGTAACCAGCTGTGAGACACCCTGAGCCCACCTTTGATTTCTCCAGCTTTCAACACCAATGCAACGGCTACCAGTAACACCAGCTTGAAAATGTGGCCATGAGAGCAGCATTCTGGAATCCACGAACTTCAAGACAAGATGAATGCCCAGATCAGACTTTGGTCTTTAACCAGAGATGGCCAGTAAAGAACTTCACTGACATGAAACAGGAGAAAACACCACAATTGCATCAATATACTGATGTTGCTTCCAGACAGACCTTGAGACAGCTGTCAGCTCCAGTCAACTTAAGAACCACACACAGTCAAAACAGCAGAATCACCTAATGGCCCAGACTTCAGAGGACAGGGGATTGTTACACAATTAGAAACATCTTTTTTTTCTGCTAAAACAACAACATCTTTGTAGTTAAGATGATGTTATCACAGGTTTTCCTTGTAAACAAGAAGTTTCTGTACCTGTCTAAAACACTGCGCAGTGGGGTTGACCCAGCCAGCTGCCAGGTGCAACAGCCGACCCTGCTCCGAGATGCCACGTCCAGGAAGGTCCCGGGGGAAGGTACGCAGAACGCCCCAGCAGGCCCAGAGAGACAAAATGCTTTGTCAATAGCAGTCTATTATGATAAAACCGGCTTTACAAGGAGCTTGGGATTTATGGGAAGGTACAGAAATAACCTTTACAAAACAAGAAAAGGGAAAAAGAAACGCATGCAGCAGGAGCTCGTATCTGTTCTGGAGAAAACGTGCTCACACTGAGATTGTTCTGCCGGGGCTAACAAGCAGAGCAGCAGCAAGTCCCTTCACCTCCCAGGGCGTTCTTCTCTCTAGGTCTAAAATACAATTCCCTCCGTATCAATCTTGCTCTTTATTGCACTGCAGTTACAGCTCTCTCTGAAGGTGACAGACGCAACGATGAACGCTCTAAAACACTTCAGTTACAACCTCTGCTAACAAGTCTGCGTCTGGGGCCTTCTGCAGTTAGAGCACTGAGTCTAAAGCAGATCTTTGCAACGAACACCTGCGGCAGAACACTGTGTTTTTATTCAAGGCTGCAAGATTGTGCATATTTACCTTGGCTAACAGGATTATTCCAGGTTGGTGATGCTCTCTCCAGCAAAAGGAGATGCTACGCTGTCCACTCTTGCTCAGACAACTAACACACTACATACAGGAATCGTCATCCCAGCGTTGAGGGATGCATAGGCCAACCTGATGATCTCCAGTTCTACAATTTCCACGTGCTGCAGAGATTAAGGATGGTGTTTTTAAGAGAGAGCACTGCAACCTGGCCCCAACGCACCTGCTAACGGCCACTACGGCCGAGGATGCCGGGATGAGAATGCCGTTTCCTCAGTTGCCCAGGCTCCAGTTACCAAGCCAAAAGGTTTCAAGTGGAAGGATGACTAAACTGTTGATGTGAAACCTGGATGGGGAACACACCGTTATCAGCGTATATTGTAATACCCACTAGCAAAGTCTGGCAAAAGATAACACATGCATGGACAAATCGGTTCCATGCATCTGTGTATGTGTACATACGTACATATGCATATGAACAGTGGTCAGCTGCTCTCCTCTTCCTCATTAGGCAAGGCTGTGCCAAGCGAGTTGAATGTTTATGATCTCTTGCGCTCTCACCAGCATGAAGCTTTTTTTTTTAATTTCCTGTACTTGTAAAAAAACAGAAGACATAAGGAAAGGATTTCAGTTAAGGCTATCTTGCCCACATTTTGGAACCATCTCCTCGTCATGTGCGTATGCAGGTGCTCGAAGGCCGTCATTTCCTGCTAGATAAAGCAGCAGCGTAAGTACGCAGTAGGAAGATGTGATCAAGTAAAAAGCATCTAAGTCAAGCGATACTTACTTAGCCATTTAAACATACATATGTAAACAAATAAAGAGGAAAAGCTGTTGTGTTTGAATGAGGATTAGCTCCTGAAACAGACCGGGCACAACAGATGTCACTTTGCTCTCACAGGCAGTAAAAAGGAACAGAACAGTGAACAACTGCATCAAAAAGAAGAATGAGGAAAGCACGTCTTGGTGGAGCCTAGGGGTGAAAACACCTGAATCACCGAGTAATCAAGTTCTGAAATGCCAATGTGGCATATGTCAAATATTACTGAAAAAAATATACAGGCATTAATGCTGTATTCTTAACTCAACGGTAATCATTTTCTCTAGGATAAGAGAATGCGTAAGTGAAGGACTGTCTTTAAGGGAAGAAACAAATCTATGCTGGTATTGCAAGAGTGGTGTTAACACAGCAGTTATGGCTACGACCGATATTTCCCAAGTTGCCTTTCCACTATTGACAAAACCTCTACTTTGATCCTCCCAAGCCTGACTGAACTATGTTGGTGAATTTGAAGTAGAAAACAAAACCACACCCCCCCACCAAAACCCCACGCAAGAACTCTGCTCCCTTTGCTAAATCAGCATCCATCTTTACGAGCCTAGAACAGTCATAAAAACATGCACTGAACATGTTGGGAGACATTGTTTTTCTGCCTGAGGCAACCACATGCCTTATGCCTGTATAAAAAAAAAAAAAGAGTTGGCCTGTTTTATAATGCCCACACAGACTGGTATTCACATTGCCAAGGTCTGTTTGTTTTTCTCTAAAAGTTTGTGGAATACACTCATCTGGAATACCTAACCAAGTAATAACAAAGATGTTTAAAAGCATTTTGAATCCAATTTACTTTGTATTTTCTTCCCTGTTCTTTTTAGAAAGTTAATGTATCGTACAAGCATACATTTAATTCCAGCTTTCCCCCATTCCTCATATCCACTGATTAATTTAGGAACATTTAAGGCACACCAACACAGCTTTAAAGGCCCTGAGCTACTTGGATTACAGTAACTTGTGAAGCATCATGCCCCAAAAGAGAGACTCATGGAAATGGCAGTAAATGATGAAAGGGTTTTATTGTGCAAAGATTTCAAAATGCTGGAAATCCTTTTGTATTTCCCTTCGCTCCACTTCTTCCTCCCCTCCCCTGGCTGGGAATAAGGAAACAGCCACGTTATTCTATAGCTGGTTCCCACCGCTGTAATGTTCTGGTTCCCATTGAGCTGTGCATTCAAGCAAAAACAAGAACAAACATTAACAGCTCCATTCCCATCCATCTACTAGACAGGAACTCACAGACGCTTCATTATATACCTCCTGCTGGCACTGATGAGGCAGAAGATTTGTATAGAAAGGAGGGGGAGACTCAGACAAAACACCAGAGTCATTGTAATTGTTCTCATTCGTAATTCTATTAGCTAATGTCAGCCAAAACATCATGCTACTTTCAGCTTTTCCTCACTGTTAAAAAATACAGGCATCGTCAACAGCATCTCGAGAACCTTTCACAGGCTGTGCAGATCTCACATACATGAGTTTAAAGACAGGAGGAAGGAAAAAACAGGACCATTTTGTGTAACTGGAATTTTATTTTATATATAAATAATAACAAGAGACTAAGGAATTTTGAGACTTGCTACTTGCAGTGCTGATCTGGCAATGGGACAAGCATGGGCAGACTTGAGTCCCACTGCAGAACTGAGGACAAGGTCTCAAGACTGACCCAAAACACATAGTGTCCTTTCACAGACTCCGTACCAGAAGCCCAAGCAGCACACCGTCAGTCTTTCCTGAGGCTGAAGGCAGGTTAGTCACGTTCAAAATCAAAATGGATTCAGATGGTTTTCCTCTTTTTCCTGGGAAATTGTTGCTCATATCTGTATTTTTTATTCACCTATAGCCAAAGAAAGCAGACAGAGGACAAGGGGAAGAGGGAAGGATGGAGAAAGCAGAATTAAATATCAGAGGCCTTTTCTTTCCATTGTCAAAGTGCAATTAAAACTTTTTTCCTCTCACGTGGCAAGTTGATCAAAATCTATTTGAGGAACATTCTCAATACCAACCTACTTCTAGTAAAGATATTTAACTCTTCATATTACTGGCATCAGAACACTAATGATTATGTCTGCTCTATAGACTTCGATTCCTATAGTTGAACTGTACGAAAATATAAAAGAAAGAACACTTCACAGCAACAACACACCAACTGGAATCTTGTGTAATAAGCCAACCTTCTCAAAAAGAATTCTTTTTAATTCCCATCAAGTGCATTTTTTCCTAATCTCACTTACTCTGGTGTAAGGCCAGGGTAATTTAACTCAAAGAAATGGAATTACATAAATACAGAACTTGAACAGAGTGAAAATTAGATACGCTATCTTCATGGGAAAAACACAAAGCCATGTCACTTCCGTGCAGCATTTCAGCACAACAGCTGGATAAAATTAAAGCTTGCTTCTCCCACGATGGCATGTGGTTTGAGCTGTAGTTTGCATTCAGTTATTGATGACCAACATACTATAGAGGAGGTGCAATGCTGCTGTTTTTTTGGAATGGAGAAATATGTTACTGTCTCCAAAGTGGTTTTGTCCCTGGCTGACCATTCACAATTCAGAGACCCACTGCTGTGGCAAATCGCTGAGAAAAATGAGATTGTCTTTATTTTAGTAACTACATTCAACTAGGAATATCGCCAACAGTTGGAAAACACAGCGAGACGTTCAGGACTGATCTCATTCAGAATAAACAAATACATCTTTTCAAAGATCACAGCAGCATTATTCTCCAAGCTTTGGGATCACCCAAATCCAACAAAACATCTGGACCTGGGTATGGAGTTAAATAACTGGATTTGGTTTCAAGCAGAAGTAACAAATCCCCACCCCTGCAAAACAGCCGAAAGTTGATACTGATTTGAACTTTCACCATCTGCTTGCTCTAGGTCAGAAATCTGGCAGTTCCAGTTATGCATCTCCTCCAGAACCAACACGTGGCAAAGCAAGCAGATTTCAAAACCAGCAGCACCCAGGTACTTTAAGCACTGAGCAATTATCTTCACTCTTCAAAAAAAAAAGAACATCTGCAACAGCAGCTGTTAGTGAGGTTTTCCTCAAAACTTACTTATATAGCATGGGTATATTTATGATTAAAATCCTGAAGACAAAGGGTCTGGATACCAACTTCAGTATAAGTCTTCCTGACAGCTTTTGTTCCTTCCCTTCCACCACCCCTGCCCCCCAAAAGAAAATGTGCCTTAAGCAAAAAGCACTAGTCTTTCAAAAAGTGAATAAAGACCTAACAGAAATTATATTCTCATAGTAAAAAATGCTAAAGGAAAATAAAAGCTATTTACGGATTTCTGTTTGTAATGAACCGTGATATTTGTACAGCGTCCCACATACCTAAACAAAAGTTCAATTTTCCTGGCTTTTTATCATTTAGTAGCTCTGTCCCAGTTCACAATAAGCACAGTATTTTAGTGAATTTTAGAGAAGCTTTTCTTCCTCTTGGTTCTCCTGGGTATCTTTACTCAAAGAAAAAAAAAAACGAAACCAAAAAACCAAAAAAAACCCAAACCTGTCCTTCCTTTTTTTTTTTTAATTTTTATTTTACATGGCTATTTTATAAAATACTTGGAAAATATAAAGTCTTTAAGAATATACATTCATATGTTTGAAGGAAAAACTAATGTATGAGTAAATCAGCCAGTCAACACACCTTTTTGCCCTTGTGAGAATTAGCTATAGCAATTAAAAATACGTTAAGAGAAACACATCAGAAACTAGTTTTGCTTTTAAAGCTGACCGTGTAACAGTGGAACATGGTTGCTCAGCAGATGTGTGCATTCCATCACACGTTCGAACATTTGTGACTGGCGACAATGCATGGAAGAAAAAAATTAGTGCAGTTTTCTAAATCCAGACTCTATTTACACAGTTGGCAGTTAGGAAAATAAAGGATTTTTCCTGTAAATGGAACACTGCATACAAAAATAATGAGGAGTCCCTACAATGCTAGGATCACTTTCTGATGAAAAATATGTCTTTAACATAATGTGAAAATAATACAAGGCAGAGACAAGCAACTAGAAAATATGTTCAGAAAAGACATCCTTTATCAACTGCTAACAGAGCAGACATTATCTGATATTTTGTACTAAATGATGTCCAGTTGCAGTATCATTAGTAATAATAAGCCTCAAATACACAGCAGTTTTCATCCTGTGAAACAGAACCATCTTAAAAAAGCCAAGAGGGTGTTTTTGTTTTGCTTTTCTAGAAACTGTGACAACCACAGGAGTTGCTCCAGTTTAGAAAGCAGCACAGTGGCCAAGTCAGAAACAGAACTGGTGTCTCAACTCGAGTTTCTGGCTCGGAGAACTGGGAAACGCTGCCTCCATTTCCTCCATCATTCGTTCCCAACTGATGAAGCACGTCTCGTTAGGGAGGTGCATCAACATGAAAGGCCAGGCACATCGGGGACTGTTACAGGGTGTAAGACAACGCTGTACCCTGGCACTGACAGCTTTAGAGAAAACGTATTCGCAGGAAAGAGGTTTCTTTCCCCTCCTTCATACCTGCACAGGTGTGACAAAGGTGCAAAGGGGGTTTTGGTACGGGAGGCAGAAATGGGAAGGGAAGAAGGGAAAAAAAACCCACAACAAAAAAACCCCAATCAACAATACATTAACAAGGCCTTGCTAAATTAACTCAGAACCCTTGGAGGAGACATATATTTACTTGCCATGCTCTAAAGATGAAGAATTTAGATTGGTTAACTTAAATGGTGTTAGGGAGCATGTATATTCTTGACAAATGTTAGGACAAATAAAATTATTACCTGTCTTCGCCTCTTTCTTCATCAATATGAAGAAGATAACTACCAGTCAAACTTGCAAATGTTCAGCTTCTCCAGGTTATTTTGCAGCTGTAGCCACATACTACTATCAGTCTTTACCTGTTTGATGCCAAGTGATCTGGTGTTCTACTTCTGGGCTCGCTCTTCATTTGAAGCAGCATGGATTTCCACGGGCTTGTTACCATCTGCATCACCCTTCAGGAGGGAAAAATATGCACAAAATTTCAACTGAGGCAATCCATGATTAATGTTTTTGCCGGAACAGAAACCCTCTTCAAAAGCTGAAACAAAAACTTCTTGCAAAATCCAGTGGCTGATGAGACTAATTCAGTATAATATACTCAAATATGACCTTCTCCCAAACGGTTTCTGGATTTTAGTCTTCCTGTAGTTAGCTAAGCAATTAAAGGATTTGAAAGAACAAGTAGTTCTTTAATTGACTCACTTTGCCTGCACTAATAACGGAGGATGAATTCCCACAGAGCGCATTCTCCGTGTTCTGTGGGGATTTATACAATAGGTCTCTTTTAGTACATATCCTTTGAGAGAGCGTTCTCACACTTTCCCCAAAATAAATGATAGAAATCAAAGACTGAAGAGAGGCTTGTTAGAGCATCTGGTCTATCTATTTGCCAAGCACGCTATAACAAACAGGCATTGGATTATAGTCTTAAGCAGGTATCTGTAAAGAAACACTTAAAGGGCCACACACACGGCTAGGGGGCTGAAGCACACGATACACAAGGAGAGGCTAAGACACCTGCATCTGTTCAGCCTGAAGACCAGACAAAGGGGGAACCTGAATGCTATCCACAGCTCCTTAATGGCCACTGACATATTTGGAAGAGGCAAAGGACACAGGAGCATGGCAAATTTCTATTAGATGTAAGGGGCAAAAAGAAAAAAAAAAAAGAAGTATCACAGCACTGATCAAGCACTGGAGCAGGTTCTCCAGAGAACTTTTTGAATCTCCATCCTTGGAAATATTCAGCACTTGACTGCACAAGGCCTGAGCCACCGAATCTAACTTCAAAGTTGTCTCTGCTTTGAACAGGGGGTTGGATGAAATGATCAGAGGTCGCACCCAGCCTCAATTAAATTCTTAAATTCTACACCTGAAAATTAAATGGCATCTTCTTTTTATTCTAAGAAGGTATTTTTACCAATATGACTCACATGTGACAGAAAATGTAACAAAAGAAGTTGGAAAACACAAACGTTTCACAGGATGGGTCAAATTTACATTCCATCACAAATTAAAGACTGTGAAGGGTCTACAAGACCCTGCATATGCTGCACTGGAGATATGGACTCAATACATCAAGATTCAATTATGAAGATGATTCTTAAATGTCTTATTCAAAATATGCCTAGCAAGACCTTTAAAAGGTAATTCTTTCTTTCAAAACCCATTTTGTTTCAATCACTACCTTGGATATTTCATAGTATAGGAAATCACACCCGCAAAACACACCTATTTCAAAATAATGATCTACTCCATAATTTTCCTTGACAGGAAATTGTAAGTTATGACATTTTACTACAATTTATACAGAATAATCTGACTCACGATGCCTCATCTCAGGGATTACTCAATCCTGAACAAATGAACTAAAAATAAGTTGTTCACAAAGTTCTATGTTTTGCCACTCACTCGTTTTAACTTGTAAAAAGCAAATACCATCTAGGTAAGTTTTGGGGTTTTTTGTCCTGAAAGAGGGGAAAAAACCCAAAGCAACACACACAGACATACAGGAAAACAGGGGTCTTGCTCAGTTCCTTTGTTGCCGTGAGCTCAGTAGATCTCATCACAGGGCTTGTCTTCACCAGATCTACTAAGCCTGAATTATTTAATTCAAGCCAATCCCCTGCGAAACTCTCATTCCTCACACAAACTCATTTGCTGAATTAGCAATTAAGAAGTTCTTTTAACTCCATCCACTGCCCACTATGTAACCAGTGAGCCTGAGTGAGACTGATCAAGCAGTAATACGGGTAGCCAGAAAAAGACGTCCCTTGAGCTGGCACAGCAAATAAACACACCTAATTTTACCACAAAGTGTCAAAGTCCTCTAGTCACACTCAAAACTAGATCACAAGCAAGAAACGTGTTTAGATCAATGACCCAGAAGATAGACCTCCCCTGTGCCATGATGCCTTCTCATAATTAGAAGCAGGCACATATCCAAGACGGTCTTTCTACTTTCTGGCTCAACACCACCACTCCATAATATATCTAGGTGGCCAAAGAAGTTCACACGTTAGAGCTCTATCCCACAGCACAAGGGGAAATATTTTACATTTTTACGCTTCTGACAATTTCAACCAAAAGGTGTCTGATCAGAAATCTCTGTAACACATTCATTAGTAAAGGGTTCAATACATTGGGATTCCATGGGATTAAAAGAAAAAAATAATAATAATTTGAAATTGAAAATAATATTGGAACTAAAGGGACCATACATAATGCTTTTTGTAAGGTTTCAGTACGAGTGATTAAAAACCACTCCAGCTCAGCTTACAGTATCTAACAGAGATATACTGAGACAACAAACTTTTAAAAAAACAATGATTTCTCTGAAAATTTTTCTTCCACACAGAGAAAAGTGCCCAAAAGCAACCTAGCCTAATGTCAAAAAACCCAAATGTGTAGTGGCTTTCTTCTCACATGACAGCCTAGCCAGATGCAGAAATTAGTTTCTGTTGCTGCCTCCAAAAAAGCCTTGCAGATGGCCAGGCTCTTTTAGACTGGCACCTAACCTTCGAAATTGTAACTCCAAAGGTAGGTATACATCTCTCGTATGCTTATGGAAAACTCTTGAAAGGTAGAGCCTGGCCACCAGGAGAAAACAACAACAGCTGCAAAAGAAAAACAAAGGCTCATCCGGGCTCACAGATTAATATTTTACCTTTCCTTCTGTCCTCTTTTGTTGGCAATGTATTGCTCAGAATAAAGACAATGTCACTGGTTTACCTTATTCATCCTCCCCCAGTCAATCAATAACGTAGTCTCCTTCTTTTATCTTTAGTTAAGCTTGAACTTAACACTCTCAGAAATATGAAGCACTTTAAAAACCTTGCTCTAAGTTGCCCTTAAAAAGCCCAACTTTTTGCAGAGTAGATTCTGGCTTTCCCACCTCTAACACATTTAAATTCACCACTGCCCATACTAAGGATCCAACCCGAAAGAAGTAATAATTTTTACAAATTTTACTCTGCTGTTGTTCTTACTACCAAACAATAAAAGGAGAGTATATGGCAGGGAATAGTATTTTCTGTCAGAAGTAGATGTTTATCTTTTAGTTCAGAGGACCAAACTTTGGCATGTCTGTTCAGAAGCTACCAAAGACAAGCCTTACAAGCATTTGCTGGAGAAAGCAGCTCTCAGCTGCCCATGTTGTGTTTTGAGCATCCTTTAAAACACAACTTAAGGTTTGCTACAGTCACAACCTACAATGCTGACGGTAAAGCTCCCCAGTCAACACACTGACACCACAATTTCTGCCAGAGCTTTCAGGTGAAGAAAGTTCAGGTCCACAATTTCCTTGACGCTTGTTCTGAGCAAGCACAGGAAACCAGCACCCAAAGCTGAGCAGTCTTTGCACTTTGTCACTAGCTAGCACTTTAGAAAATACCCAGAGATAGCCATATAGATAGATTTTTAATATTTATAGATTTTCATGTGTGTAATAAATATGTATCTATAGGCTAAATATA